AGTAACTAATCTCGCTTAAGAAGTTATTAAACTGAAATGATCGGAATGGATACAGTCAGGTCATCAGCATACTTAACAAAGTTAGCCTTAGTTGAGGTTGGTTAGTCATGCAAAAATAAAGAGAAAAGGGAAGGAAAAAGAAAAGCACCTTGAAGCGCAATGACTTCACTAAGCAGCAAAGTAGAGCGTTTCCCTCTCATTATCATCATTATCAACATAGGACCAGGCATTACTGCGTAACGGTCCAACTTGCCACACCTCATATCAGCACATCAAGTAAAAAGGTAGTGAGGTGAAGGATGAAGATAAGTGAATGCAGTCAAAAGAAATATAAAGTATGAGAAGAAAGGAAAGAGGAGTGACAAATAGTGAGATTCGGTATAGCGTTGTTAAGATGAGGATAATGTGTGTATACATCTGCGCCACTGACTTCGGTTCTGAGCCATATCACCTAGGGTCTCCAACCACTGGTTCCTCTTGTCCCGTGGACCCCAACCACCTAGTCTGCATCGTCCTACATGGCTTAAACCAACAGTCAGAGACTTCATACATTGGTGCCATGTTTTAGTCTGGCCACCTCGGGCCTTTTTCCAGCCTGAACCCACCTCAGCCAACATTGTGTGACGAGGCAATCGGTGACTAGGCATACGTAGTACGTGTCCCAACCATCTCAGTCGATGAAGGTTCACAACCTCGTCGACTGACTTACCTCTTCTCCCTAAAACTCTACACCTAACTTCTGCATTACTCACCTCTACTTAAAGTGTACTGTCTTCTCTCAGAAAAATATGAATCAAGCCAGTTTGATTTTATAGCTCGTCGCTTTCGATTATTTCCTGTTACACAAGAAGTGGTTTACTGGATAACGTTCTGACATTTGAAGTTGCCGATCCTGGATCCCTGCCTTGATAGGAACAACACTACTCACTGGGAGTTGAATATATCCAGCTGACGAGCCCAAGTAGGACGAAACATGCGTCTTGGATTCTACTGCTAGCCAATACCTATCATTGCTGTGGAACTAAAGTTACTGGTAATGTGACATTCACGCGTAAGCCTATATTATAGGAGTGACTGGTCAATTCAGTCCAATCAACAACGGGAAATTACAACCAATAGCAATAAGGCTGTGGTTACTGTCTTAAGTGATTCAGGAACAAAGTCTTTAAGCATAACTCTGAAAGATGTACGTGTAGATATGAAGCGCAAGCCGTTTTATATCTTTCGATAACACCGTATTATTGTTTCTCTTAATGTATCCTAGATAGTATAGCATAGATCGCTTTCTAAGCGATCCAGTGATAATCAGTGTAATAGTTTAGTTCGCATTTTATGGGAGCAAACATGCCTGGAAGCAATAAATTATCATCGAAACACCTTTCAGTAAATAATACTACATGAATATGTACTATATCAAGTTAGATAATCTAATTTGAAGCAGATAAATAATTCTGAGTTGTATACTTCATCGCCTTAATCAGTCCTGTTCACTTCATCAAAATGTTTCTTCATGAGTACTAGACGATCAATGTGAGACTGTATAAATATGTAAATATGTGTGTGTATGTTACGCAAAGAATATACGAGACAGAGGGGCCATGGGTAACCTGATGCTGGTTATTTAAAGATATGTATATACGGTCTAGGGAGTTGACTTTCAACTGATTGGTCATGGGTTCGATGCCCACCCCACCTACTGAAGTTTAGGCAACCAAGTAGTATGAAAAGTTTTCATACACTAGGTGTATTGCTCATCGCCACCTAGTACAGGAATGTTCACAAGGTAACAGAGTGGATTTTGATACAGTTCGTCAGTTAAAATACGAAGCAGACAAATATTCGTTATCACTTTGACAATCTGAGATAACCGTGCTTCACCTGACTAGTACTGATATTCGGTCATGAGTGACAGTGAACAGGAAGTTCGAGACTGCGGCAGGATTCGAAACAACAGGTTACAGACCTGATACTCAGAGTAGAGCACCAACCTGATAAACTAGAGGTGGCTGTCTTGATCTCTGCCGCAAACCAGATCTTAATTTGATTTGTAATCACTATTCAGTATCAATACAAGCTGTAAGTCTCCACCTGAATTGTTTGCTAAACAAATTAACAACAACTAATAACAGCAAGTAGGATAAATTCAAATAGAATACTGTTCTTAACTTACCTTAATTTTATCAATGACGAATAGTGGCTAGCAATGGAATCCTGGACGCGCGTTTCCTCCTGCTTGGGATTCGTCAGCTGGACGTACCTGCTTCCCAATGGTCGATGTTGCTTCCACTGGGACTGGAACTCAGGATTGGTCGCTTCGAACCCCAGAGTGTTATCGACTACACCAGCGAGCCACAATGGCCACTTCTTGTGTGACAGGTATGGTTTTAATGTTGTTGCTTGAACTATCCCGTCGTTGATTCGACCGAATTAATCGGTCTCTTTTGATATACTGTCTCCTGTGTGGATGCCTCGATAATGCCTGTGTTTTAATTACATGTACTAATTATGGATAGTGACTAGCAATGGAATCCAGGATGCACGTCGCAGTCGGAACGACACTGATAAGTCCTAAATAGGACGAAACGCGTGTCCAAGATTTCACTGCTAACCACTATCTATCATTAATATATGTAATTAAAACACAAGCAATATCGAGGTATCCACGCAGGAGCCTATATGCCAATACAACCGGTCAATTCGGTCCAATCAACGACGGGACAACACAAGCAATAACACTATTACCTCAGTTTTCTTTATTCAAGTTACTGAAATTCTTCCATGTATTAAGGACTTAAACAATCAGTCTATGTGAAGCTGTGAGACGTTGATTTCTGCACTGAACTTCAAACTGGTCAGTTATAGCTTCGAATTCAGGTCTTGGCAGCCAGGTATTGTCATTCACCATTGTGTAATAAATGTAACTTACCCCTACAGCACGAATGTGTGCGCAATTGCCGAGTGAATTTTGATTTTCTTTTTTACCAGTCAGTATTTATCCTTACCAGCATGTTTACAGTAGCAATCAATTTCATTTTCAATTTTCCACCAACCTCTATATAGTCATCAGTGTGTTTTCCAATTTCTGAATGTTAGATTATTACTATATACATTCATTTCTCCCTTGGGTTAGTACTAGAACATAGGGCTTCAGTACACTTCTCCATTTCACTCTCTTCTCTGCAGTCCTTTCAACTGGTTGCCCCACTGCCCACATGCCTTCATTTCTTCCTCACACCATCTCCTTCATGTCACTCTCGGTTAGGACGCCCAACTTGTCGTTTCCCATTTGGCTTTCACTCGAGAAACTGGAACCCGAGAAAGTTATCTCAGTGCATGGCTAATCGAATCCAATCCATCTCCACTTTCGTCTACGTATTTGTTGGGCGACAGGTTGTTGGTTGGTTCTTTGCCAGCCAGCCAAACTTTCTTGTTGCTTATTCTTACTATTCTGACCAACTGATCTTCAGTGTCAGTATCGAGTGAGCGTCGGGCTTTTTATTGTGAATCACTCAGCAATTAGCATCATCATATAGCTAGCTGTGGAGACAAGAGCAAGACAAAACTGCCGACTACTATCACCCATGATCTTCCTTATTATCGTAGACTGGACTGGACCGGGTCATACAACAAACTGTGAGGAGAAATATGAGAGCCATACGCTGCTTGACCGATGAAAAGACTTCAGAAGAGATTTGGATTTCGCCGATGATGATTTATGTCTACTGTCTAATGTCGCACAAACTCGAAGATCTACAGGCGAAACTCGCAAGTTAGCTGAAGAAGCGAGGCAGCGAAAATGGGACTTCAGGTGAATGTAGAGAAGACAGAGGTGATGAAGATACCCAACAAACAACAACAGCAATGACAAAAATAACAAGCACCAATCACCATGAACGGGAGAGATGTAAAGGAAGTAGTCTCTTCTCTGAAGTCCTCTTAACCTGGCTTCGCCGCTGCCCACAAGCTTCAGTTTCTACCTCACACCATCTCCTCAATTTCACCCTTGGCTCGGACTCCCAACCCATCGTTTCACATTTGGCTTCCACTCGACGGCCCGGTCTGGCATGGCCCATGATGTCCCCAGATGGTCTTCTCAGTGTATGGCCAACCGAATCCAATCCATCTGCACTTCCTTCTGCATATTTGTTGGGTAATAGATTGTTGGTTGATTCCTTGCAAGCCAGCGAGAGTTCCTTGTTGCTTATTCTTATTATTCTAGACATCTGACCTTCAGTATCAAGCATGCCGCCTGTAGTTGAGATGATGCTGCCTAGATAGGTGGGTGAAAGAGACTACTTCTTTTACATCTCTCCCGTTCATGGTGATTGGTGCTTGTTATTGTTGTCATTGCTGTTGTTGTTTGTTGGGTATCTTCATCACCTCTGTCTTCTCTACATTCACCTGAAGTCCCATTTTCGCTGCCTCGCTTCTTCAGCTAACTTGCGAGTTTCGCCTGTAGATCTTCGAGTTTGTGCGACATTAGACAGTAGACATAAATCATCATCGGCGAAATCCAAATCTCCTTCTGAAGTCTTTTCATCGGTCAAGCAGCGTATGGCTCTCATATTTCTCCTCACAGTTTGTTGTATGACCCGGTCCAGTCCAGTCTACGATAATAAGGAAGATCATGGGTGATAGTAGTCGGCAGTTTTGTCTTACTCTTGTCTTAACTTTAAAAGCGTCAGTGCGCTTCCTATTGTGAATTACTCGGCATTTGGCTTCTTCATATTACTGTTGAATGAGATTGATAAAGGTTTGTGGTGCTCCATAGTGTTCAATCAGCTGCTAAATTACTTTTCGGTCGACGTCTTGATCGAAGTCATTTTGAAATCTGATGATGTTGAGGTAGAGTGCTGACTTGAATGGATGGTCAATTTTTAAAAGATGTGCACGAAATCCTGGAATATTTCTGTACTTATTTCTTAAGTGATATATGCTCTACTCACTGTTTACATAGTTCCATAGACTATGATTGTTGTTTTTACGAATTTTTTTTCCAGTCAATTTGTTATCGGATACCGATCGATCTTCACGATGACGATTATACTGTAGTCGATCAAACAACAACTTTCATGATGAATAAGCCTCAAGTATCGATGACCATTATGCTGACAACAATAATACTAATACTAACAGTAATATGAATGATGGTATAAGCAAGTTGAAACCAGGATTTATTGAACCAGATAATTTACGAATACTGACTACAAGTTCAGTATGTTGTAATACATTTGTCAGATGTTTTACACTTCCTCTTGATTCTGATAATAATGAAGACAGTTTATTCAAAGATTGGACAATTGACTTCTATTGGAATCGTACACCAGAAATGTATGAATTCGGTGAAGATGGTTGGAGTAGTGTTGGTACTCCAGTTGGTGCTTTGTCAGGCGTTTATGATCTAGTCGATGTAAAATTAAAATATCGTCTTCATGAAAAGTTTGGATTTGATTTTCTTAATCATGAATATGGTATGTACATGGTTAATTACCACTAATTTTATAGTATCATTTCATTTTTCTGTTTTTCTATTTGTTATAAAAACACTTTTAGGTTAAATTTGATTACTATTAGTTATCATATACAATCCCTGGGGATGCTCGGTAATATTTAAGTCAAAATCTTTGTAAATGTTCAATATATTCACGATAAATAGGTTTGTGATACCGGAGGTTTATTGAAAGTCGACTGAAAATCTCGGTCATGGTAAGATTCGAAACAGAGTCCTTTGAGTAGTCTAGAGAATACTTTATCGATACACACTTATACAGTAAATTATGTACACAAATTTCAATGCGTTGACTGGAACATTTCACCTGATGTAGTACAACCCTGTCTTCATTGACTTCTAAGTTGAAATTATAATCAGATCTTCACTTCAAACACAATTACGTTACACTTATTCATTTGATGACTAGGTGAAACACTTGGTGATTAAAATGAAAACCAAATCAGCGAAAAAATCTCTTGGATCACTCAGTACAGTAACCCAAAGGCTATTGCTTTGAATCCCACCATAACAAAGGTCTTTGTTTCACCCAATATCAATAATCTCAGTCGGCCAAACTGAAGACAATGTTTCGTCGTTTCACAGGTTTTTAGCTAAAAAAAATAGAATTTTATATGCATTTTCGAACTATTAATGTGTAGTACATTCACTCGCCAAGAAAAATTCCCTATCGAATAAGTTTATTCGATATATCAAGATGATATGAACAGTAATTTGTGCGCTAAATGTCATCCAGTAAGTAATAATTACTATATAACTATATTGTATCAAATTACACCTTACCACACTGCCCAAAGACCATAATTGCATGGAGAACTAATAGTAATAATAATAATAATAATTCACTTTATTCCAAACAATTTTTAGTATTTTGAGGGGGTTGTGGAGATTTGGAAATATTATAAGTTATTATTCATCGAAGACTGACATCAGTTGGAGGAACAAAGGAAACCTGGGAGCACTGGACAGCTATTTCGTCCTAGTATGGGACTCCTCAGCAGCGCAGTGGAGTCAAAGCCTGATGGCCGTGAGGACAAATACTCAACGATGACATTGGGTGGCGGTTTGCGCTATATCGTGAGCTAACAGAAGTTGGAAATATGGAGCATTGGATTCTCACCCAGTGGCTAGCTCAATGGTAACGCGCTGGTCGCGGAACCTGAAGGTCGCGGGTTCGATCCCTGCTGGTGGGGTCGTGGGTGCGCACTGCTGAGGAGTCCCATACTAGTGGGACGAAACAGCTGTCCAGTGCTCCCAGGTTTCCTTTGTTCCTCCAACTGATGTCAGTCTTCGATGAATAACAACTTGAAATCTTTTTTGAAATTTTTTTTAGTTCTCAGCATGATATATTACAACAACAATAAAATAGATGTATGTGTGTATACTCCCTTACAACATTTCCCATTGAATTATCACTAAAAATTTAGGTAAAGTAAAGAATATTAAAGACGAGAGCATTTTCCAGTGTTAATTAAAATGATTGAAATGAGACTGTTTACTGTTACAAAGTGGATATGTGAGTTCTGTTCTAACACACTTCTCCTCACATTATATGCACACTACGTAAGATACAGTCGAATTCTTCCACTTGCCTGTATGAGCATACAGTCTGATGTAATTTCTTCTTGTCCTCCTTGAGGAGATACATTGAGACAGCTGTGAATGAAGTAGGTGCTTAGTGTCAGTTAAAATTCCTGTAGCTAACTGCTTGCTGGAATTTAAATGTCTAACAACTACAGTGTTAATCAGTTGAGCCAGAGGCACCGTACTTACCCTGCTGATGGCTTTCAATGCTCTACGTAATGTAACAGACCTTTTTTTAGAAGACCGGGGAACAATACAGAAGAATAGGTAAAATGCAGGAATTGATAAATTGTAAAAGAAGACGTTGAGTTATACCAGAGAGCCTCAGTTTCTTTATGTAGTAAGTTAAACGAAAGATTTTTCAATATTTCAACAAAATATGAGACTACCAACATAGAGCAAAAGTAAAATTCAATCCAAGATACTTAACACTCTATTTAATTTCTCCACAAATACCATCAATCCAACAGGCGTCATGAGACTTAAACAGCTTACACCATTCTTCTTTACACCTGAAGCTAAAGTTAAGAGTATGACATTTAGAAGGGTTTAACCTGAGACCATTGATCAATAGGAGACAAGAATCCATTTAATTCAGAGAAATCTAAGCGGGAATTAACTGCAATAGGTGCCGTCAGTTCATCAGCCTACTTAATAAAATTAGTTTCATCAGAATAAGGTAAATTGTGTAAAAAGAAAGAAAACAGAAAAGGAGAAAGTACAGCACGCTGATGCACACCAGCTTCAGCAAGGAATGAAGTGGACCGCCTCCCTTCATATGTTGCATATTGTTCCTTTTCACAAAACTAAGAATACGGCCACTTCGTAACGCATGGCTCAACATGATTCATGGGAAGCTTACTTAACAGGAGTGGTCTAGGAACAGAGTCATAGGCCAATGAGTATTCAAGAAGGCGCAGCGAACACACTTAACACCTTTATTTACACTAGAAACAATACCATGATGCAAAACAGTGACAATATCTAAAGTATTTCTCCTGTGTTTGTAAGCAAATTGTTTTGGATCTCTAACAACTGCCAATGAAGGCTCAACCACAAAGACAGGATATTTCTTCATTGTCTTCAAGAAAGGAAAAGTTATGGAGATGGGTCGAAACATAACACCTGATCGAGAGAATGACTTAGGCACAGGTACAATTTTGATCTCCTTCAAAGTAGCAGGTATCGTGTTTTTAGAAAACGATGCAATGAAGATATCTGTAAAGGCATGACATAAAATATCTGTACATTTTTGAAATATAATACTAGACACACTATCAGGACCTAACTTTTGAGACGGATTCAAGGATTTATGACATTTGGAAACTAAGTCACATAAAGAAAGCTGAAAAGTATTGTAGACCAATTAGTCGCCGTTGGGTAACAGACATAACGATATAGTCGTCAGTGCTCATAGATAGTCGAAGTCTATCGATCAACTTTGCAATGTAACCATTAAATTAAGTGACACGATAGCGTGGCGCACTGTATTTGGGTGTTAGATGGTAGGAGTCAATTGGCAAGCATCCCTTGACCTACTAGGTTTTGTACTTAGTAGCACTTAAAATCAAAACATATCTGAAACAATAAGAAAACTAGCGTTCCATCGGTGAAGGGTATTGTCATAAAAAGAAGTTATCATGACATAGTGAATGATAGTTTTAGTTCAACTGATGAGTGCTTTGTCACTGCTGTTGCTATGTGAGGTTGAGATTATGTGATCACAGCTTTTAAAAACTACTTTATCAATACCAATCATGGTGATACAGTTAAAATTACTGTTTATCTTCAGAGAATCTTCAACTCTAAATCTCTTCAAATTCTGAACAGTTCTCCGTAAGACAACTGACCAATGATAACTTTTGTTTTAGACAATAATCACTAGTGGAACTTATGATCTTGTTATAGTCAATTAGTTAGAATAATATACAAGACTCCTTGAGGTGCCAAACCATCTAAAATAGTATAAAGTTATTTAAGATAGTTTAATTTGGAGAAATTAATGGACCGCTGTTAGTACTTGGGCTCATTTTATAACTTCATGGTACTGTTGTTTTAATTGCACTCTTATAATATAAATTCACTGAAAATAACAATAGAATACATTAGAACACAAGTTCACTTTGTCTATGATGAAATATATGTTTAGAGTTTACTCTAATCGTCATTTACAAAGTATGAATTTGAGTACAAATGTAGCTTTTCATGAGGATATTGAATTCGATTAGGCTTAAAAGTAACTTTAAAATATACAGTCTGAATAAAACTCTCTTGTAGCTGTTCTATTGTAGTAGGCGTTGCTGATAAGAACGGATATAAGTAGTTTATGTTGACAGGGTGGCAGAAATCACAGGTAATTACCAAGAATGAGTAAAGACACTGTCCAGAGAAACACAAGAGACAATGTGGGCGTATTAAGAGCAAGTTGAGATAGAAGCAGAAGAGGAAATGAGGCACATCGTCTAAATGACTGTTTTAGTGAAAAGTGTACAATATTTCATCACTACTGTAGAAGATGTCAGTAATAAACATTCCTTCCTGCGTCTCAGTCTTGCAGTTTCCTACACTATTACCCTTAATTATTTCTTCCTACACATATCAGCAACATAGAATGTGGTGTAAAAGTGTAAGGATCCAAATTGTAGCACTTAACATCAACTCAATTCAGTAAAAATCAACGACAATAATGATAAAGGAAGGGAAACATGATGTTGACAGCCTATCTGAAATAAATCAGAGACAAGAGTCAACCAATTTCGGTATACGAAAATCCTGGAGGCAGTCAAGGAGATGATCTTCAATCGTTGGGATCAAGATTACTTAGGTATACTTAATCATATTCTTGAAGTTAACGGATTAATACAGACAGCTACCCTTTTGGTAGATGAAAACAAGCCAACGATGGCAAAGAACACTACTTAACTGAATACCAGTCAACCAATCAGTGTAAAGCGCTCAGCTCGAGTGCATAAGAGTCAGTCTATCAGAACAAGACGACCTTCATTGCTTCAGGTGAACAAAGAATATCAACCATTATGATAAGCCTGGCCTTAATCAAACAAAAAAAGTCAACCAATCGTATAGTTTCACCCCTCTACAATAAATCTACAATGCTTCGAGAGATTTACAGTTTTTTCATCTATAATATCCAACTATGTATTCCACCTGCTCCACTAACCACAACTGAAAGACATAGATTGTATATGTTGAAGTCACAACGTGTTTGAAATCGGATATAATTCCAACTTTTTGCACAGAAGTCTGGTCCGAGGCTCCTGAGGGGAGGATAAAGCGGATAACGAGGGAGAGTTAAAACCAGTGTGCCACACACTAGAAGCGAAGAATTATCCCAAAGGTTTCGTAGAATGAATTAAAAAA